TCTCCCTCTCCCTCTCACTCCCTCTCCGTCTCCCTCTGAAAGATAAAAAGAAAAAGAAAACAAGAAATGAGTAAACTCACTACATGTATGTGGGGGAGATTACTGGTGCAAGAATGAACAAAAAGACCAGCGGTCAGAAACACAGAGTTCAGAGATAGATCTATGCAGATATGAGACTTTAAAAGACCTTACAAGTGGCACCACAAGTCAATGGGGTTTAAAAAGATTGTCATGGGACACCTGGGTGGCTCAGTGGGTTAAGCTTCTGACTCCTGATCTCAGTTCAGCTCTTGATCTCAAGGTCGTGAATTCAAGCCCCACATTGGGCTTCACTCTGGGCACAAAGCCTACTTAAGAATAAATAAATAAAAATGGGGCGCCTGGGTGGCTCAGTCGGTTAAGTGTCCGACTTCAGCTCAGGTCATGGTCCCACGGTTTGTGGGTTTGAGCCCCCACTTCGGGCTCTGTGCTGACAGCTCAGAGCCTGGAGCCCACTTCAGATTCTGTGTCTCCCTCTCTCTCTGCCCCTCCCCTTCTTTTGCTCTGTCTCTGTCTCTCTGTCTCTCAAAAATAAATAAACATAAAAAAATTCTTTAAAAAAGGAATAAATAAATAAAGTTGGTAGTAGGAGGGGCTAGGAAAATTAAAGGTTAAAAACATAACTTGGATCTGCAAAGAATACCACATACAAAGTGAGAATACAGTTAGCTTGCTGAAACTCTTGTGAAAAGTCAAACTATAAAATTAACAGAAAAGTCAAATTGGGGCTGGGAGGAAATATCTTAAACCAAACTGCAAAAGCATAAATCACAAGGAAAAGAAGCTGAAGTTGATCAGTGAAACATTAAGAAATAGAGGATACTATGGACAGAGTTATAGATGAGAAAATGAACAAAAATGTTTATAATGTCTAAAACTGACAAGGAATTGGTATGTAGATTTACACGAGAAATTCCAGCAAAATCAACAAGACAGGGATAGCAACTATAATTTTTCAAAATGAGAAAGGGGGTGGGGGACGCCTGAGTGGCTCAGTAGGTTAAGCATCTGACTTTGGCTCGGGTCATGATCTCATGGTTTGTGCGTTGGAGCCCGCATCTGGCTCTCTGCTCTCACCTCTCAGCGTGGAGCCTGCTTCAGATCCTCTGTGTCCCTCTCTCTCTGCCGCGTGCCCATGCTCGCTCTCTTACTCGCTCTCAAAAATAAACATTAAAAAAAAAAATCAAAAAAATAAATGTGAGAAAAAGGAAATGAACAGGCAATTTACAAAGTATAGCCATAGTTAAAAAACAAAACAAACCCTTGAAGTCATTGTTAGTCAGATAAACACAAATTCAAACAATGATGCAATATCACTTCCTACCCATTTATTTGGCAAAATGTAAAGACCAGCTGTTGGCAGAAGTTTGAGATTATGAAAATCCTTACGCGCTAGCTGGTGGAATCACAGTGTGTTACAACCATTTTGGGGAGTAATCTGGCAGTATTTAGTCAGTTAAGTACACGCGGCAGATCGAGCAATCCCTCCTCTGTGCGTGCATCCTCCAAAAAGTTTCGCCTATGTGTCTAAGGAAACACGTTAAAAAGACACTTATCCATTCATCGGTTGATGGACATTTAGGCTCTTTCCATATACACAGTGGAATACTACTTGGCAATGAGAAAGAAGGAAATATGGCCTTTTGTAACAACGTGGATGGAACTGGAGAGTGTTATGCTAAGTGAAATAAGTCATACGGAGAAAGATACCATATGTTTTCACTCTTATGTGGATCCTGAGAAACGTAACAGAAGACCATGGGGGTGGGGAAGGAAAAAAAAAAAGAGGTTAGAGAGGGAGGGAGCCAAAGCATAAGAGACTTTTAAAAACTGAGAATAACCTGAGGGTTGATGGGGGGTGGGAGGGAGGGGAAAGCGGGTGATGGGCATTGAGGAGGGCACCTGTTGGGATGAGCACTGGGTGTTGTATGGAAACCAATTTGACAATAAATTTCATAATAAAAAAATAAAAAATATACTTATCAAAGCATTACTTGTGGTGTCAGGGAGATGGAGACGATCTTGATTCTATCGCGGGGCAAGTGGCAACATAAAATTTGGTTGGCGATGACCAAAAAGTGTTGCGCTGTAACAAAATAAACTGATTTACTGTATGTATAACATGGATGAATGGTTTAGAACTAGTCTCTCACCAGGAGCTCTGCCGTCAAAGTAAAAAGAAAGTTCATGCCAATTACATATGAATTTCATCCTCTGGAAATGCCCCAGAGCCGGTCAGAGGTTAGCCTTGAGGGTAATGAGGCAATCACTGAGAGCAATGACCTTTTTTAGGGAAGCTCTGCCCAACTCTGAGTGCTATTTGGAAGCCTTGGGGTGGAGCTTGTTTGCAAATAGCAGCCACAGAAAGCCTGGTAAATTTAAGACGTCTCAAGGGACCAGGCTGAAGGCAGGGAGTTGGGCACCATACAGTCCCTGTGCTTTGTCCCTCACTATGGAGAAAGGCAGACCTCCTCGTTCACGTTTCCCGCTACTTCTCCTCGTCCTGCTTTCTACCAATGCTTCAGACTCTGCAGAACCGTGAGTCTCTCTTAGAGTCCCCTCCTCAAGAGTCCGTTCTTTATCTCTGTCTCTTCTTTATATCTTTGCTTTGACCTTCCCATTAAATGCTACCCTTCCATTTCTTAGGATACCTTCCGGTCATAAGAGATTACTCACAACTGATTATTTTTGTCCTTTCATTTGTCGGACCCTTTTAATTTTTCTCATTGGGTCATCACAGTCATAAATAGGGTAAGTAGTCACGAGAAGGGGTGATTTGGTCAGACACTGAAACCTCAGATCCCACCTTCCCAGAGTCATTCTTTAGGACGGAAAGTGTTGATTATAAACACAGTTAAAGTGTTGGGGCACCTGGGTGGCTCAGTCAGTTAAGCGTCCGACTTCAGCTCAGGTCACGATCTCAAGGCTCATGAGTTCGAGCCCCGCATGGACCTCTATGCTGACAGTTCAGAACCTGGAGCCTGCTTCAGATTCTGTGCCTAGCTCTCTCTCTGCCCCTCCCCCCCACTCACACTCTGTCTCTCCCTCTCTCAAAAATAAACATTAAAAAAAGAAAACAACAAAAAGAGTTAAAATGTACAGTGGGGTGCCATTTAATTCATATTGTAGATCACACATGCAGAGGGAGCACAGGTCCTTTTCTTTTTCTTTTTTTTCTGTTTTTCCAATAACTTACTGAGTCCTCAGCAAGAGACCCCAGTGACGAATCAGTCAGGGAGAGGGGCAAGGAGTCATTTAAAACTAGTCGGTTGTAAAGTCGGTGGAATCCAATAACTGCAAAGCTTCTCTTCCACCTCTCCCCAGTTCCTCCCCAATAGTATCTAGATACTAGATACGGCCTCCCCATAGTATCTAGAAGGCTGTGATCTCCATTCCTTCCTGGTGGAGAAAAAGGCTCAGAGTCTGAAACCTGAGAGTTTTCGTTCTTCCTCGGCCATTGCTAATCTAGCCTCTCCTTACCTGCCAGCATTCATCACTTGAGTCTTCAGCCATCTGGTTTGTCTCAGCTTGCTTCCTTGACCAAGAAGTCCCAGAAGCCCTCTCTGGCCGACTCTGATCCACCTCAGCTCTTTTTTTATCCTATAGAACCCCGAACTGGCCACAGCATCCTTCCTCCAATCCCTCGGCTGTTCCAATACAACCTGTACTGCAGAGTCACCTCTCCCGTTTGAATTTCAGACCCCTCCCCACTCCCCTCCGGACTGACATAGCTACATTCCAGGTTGATCATGGCAGCCTCCAGAGTCCTAAACATGCAGAGGCATCAAAGGTCAGAACGCTGGCCAACTCACTTTCCTTTCTTCTTCAAATCCCTTCAGCGTACAATCTCCCAGTAACCGGTCAACGTATGTTTCTCTCCCATCACTCCTCTACCTCATCTCCAACTATGGATGGTACCACCAGCCATATGGTACCACCTCCCACTGCGTTCCACCCAGAGAGCATCTGGAAATATGGCGGGGGGCGGGGGGGTGCTGTTCAGATTTCTGCGTGGAGGCTGGATGGATGAAGCAAGGGGCATTTATTGGGGTCGGAAATGTTAAGCGGTCTGTGTTTTCAGTCCAACACAACGCAGGATGACTCTGCCCACTGAAAACTGTTGCTTTACATCCCATCCACCATTTGATAAAGAACAACAAGCCTCATGGCCTAGTTGTCATAAACAGAAGAGGTATCGTCTATGTAGAAGACATTCTGCGTCGCCCCAACCTTATTAGCCCTCGATGCGATAAATGAGAGACATTACCCAAAAGCCCGGGTGACTATTCTCCTTTGCCTTGGGTCAGTAAGCTTCAGAGTCATGGAGGTTTCAGGGGAACATGACGAAAAGAGAAAACTAAAAGTCCTCTGTTTAATATTTGCAAAATTCAGTCACTCCTACAAAGGCAAATATTTAAAATGCCAACATTCATGATTAGGTAATATTTTAAGGGTTTAATTGCTCACTTACAGAGGAAGTCTTGGGCAAATTACTCAACCTGGATGGGTCCCAATTTCAATATCTGTTAAATGAATGCTCACGAGCCTTTATGAAATAGTTGTTTGAAATATCTGGTATATATGGAATTACTTTTTAAATTATGATATCAAACAGGCTTATAACTAATAAGAACAAAAACAGTACATTGAATAAGTTATTATACACTCATGCCTTCTTTCCTATGAACATCAAAGAACTGGAGGGAAAAAAGTGTGGACGAGGAGGTAAAAACCGATAATTTTTATAAGTTATCACATTTTTGATAAATGTGATTTGCATTATATATATATACATACACACACACACACACACACACACACACACACACACACACACACACATATAGTTCAGAGTAGATTATTCAGGTTAAAAACTACCCAGAAGCCAGAAAGGGATTCAATGAGAGGTACCATCTGAATGATTATGGACAGGTTATTTAACTGCTCTGAGCTTCTTTACTTTAGAACAAAACTTTAGCACTTATCCAATAAAAACACCTGAGATTTTAATGAATTTTTTTAAGTTTTTGTTTACATTTCAGTTAGTTAGCATACAGTAAAATAGTTTCAGTTGTGGAATTCAGTGATTCATCACTTAACATACAACACCAATGCTCATCACAAGAAGTGACCTCCTTAACACCCATCACCTATTTAACCCATCCCCCCCCCAACCTTCCCTCAATGTCAATCTATTTTTTTTAATGTTTATTTTGATTTTTGAGAGACAGAGACAGACAGACAGGGTGTGAGTGGGAAGAGGCAAAGAGAGAGGGAGACAGAATCTGAAGCAGGCTCCAGGCTCTGAGTTGTCAGCACAGAGCTTGACGTGGGGCCTGAACTTGGGAACCGTGAGATCATGACCTGAGCCAAAGTCATTCTGTTTTATTTATTTATTTATTTATTTTTAATTTTTTTTTTTTAACGTTTATTTATTTTTGAGACAGAGAGAGACAGAGCATGAACGGGGGAGGGGCAGAGAGAGAGGGAGACACAGAATCGGAAGCAGGCTCCAGGCTCTGAGCCATCAGCCCAGAGCCCGATGCAGGGCTCGAACTCACGGACCACGAGATCGTGACCTGAGCTGAAGTCGGAGGCTTAACCGACTGAGCCACCCAGGCGCCCCAAAGTCATTCTGTTTTAAATGTTGGATCCTCTGTGTGTCTGAATCGTAGCTCCCAATGTGCAATGTTCAATATATTACTTCATAGTTTAATTATAAGTGTTTGTTGGTAATTTGGAGTGATTTGCCCTTGAAGTTTATTAAAAGAGAGAATATGTGCAGATTTTTCTATTTCCGCACAAATGTCATTGGGGTTTTGATAAGGATTGTACTGAATCTGTGTATGAGATTTTAATTATTGAAGAGCAGATCTAAAGATCCATGGCATACAGTTTTGCCAAGGAAAAACTTAAAACACATACAGCTTGATGAATGCGTTGGAAGAGACCCCTTGGAGAATGAGAGAACCAAGTCTGACTTCCAGATTCCACAACTAAACTGTCTCTGTTATTCTCTTCTGTGAGTCTCATACCTATTAATTCTGAAAAGTAATAAAATAGTGTTTCGTGTGTCAAATTGCCTGCTGTTTCTTAAGCGTAAGAGTCCATGTTGGAGGTAGAAGGGAAAAGGTAGTAAAACAATATAAGAAAAAATAGCCCTGGTTTTTTTTTTCTTAATTGTAAATTAACGCCAATAAATTAAGGACTTAAATCTGCAGCTATTGAATCACTAAAGTTTTGCAAAGTCACATTTTGTGTATGATTTATTGGTTTAGTGAGTAGGCAGAGCAGGAAGTATCTTACTGTTGCGTATTCAAATTCGGGAATTGGCGAGGGTCTCACGTTTATCATGAACATACAAAATATGATGCATGTACCACACAGGATTGTTAGGAGGATTAATACAGAGACTGCTTAACACAATTCCTTGCAGGTACCAGGCACTTAGGAAACACATTTCAGCCCATAGGGGTTCAGGCTATGGGGAGATCATGTGGCATCGAATGTTTCATGAACGGTTTTTTGGTCAAACGTGTCACTTGGGAGGGTTCCTGAAAAATGGCTAGAATTGTGACTGGAACTATCCGGAGGGGGAGGGGGGTATGTAAGAATATAATAGATAAAGGAAACGTATCAGTAAAGTCAAGAGTGTAAACTCACAAGGGTGCCGGGCTGGCTCAGTCAATGGAGAAGGTGATTCTTGACCACAGGGTTGTAAATTCAAGCCCCATATTGGGTGTAGAGATTACCTAAAAACACAACCTTTAAGGGGCACGTAGGTGACTCAGTCGTTTGAGCATCCATATTTCAATTTCGGCTCTGGTCATGATCCCAGGGTAATGGGATCGAACCTTGAGTCAGGCTCCACCCTGAGCTTGGGCTCTGCTTGCAATTCTGTCTCTGGCCCTCTATCCTCTCCCCCAATCGCACGTGCACTGTCTCCCTCTAAAAAAAAATGAAAGTAAACTCACACAAAAGGTTGCCCATACCTCTGAATAATTAAATACATTCAATAATTAGAATAAAAAAGACTGTAAAGTAATACGTTTTGTATGAACTTGGTTTTTTAATGAGATAATTTATTGACCCATATAGGTTTGACCACGAGGATATATTTATGAACGTAGAAGTATTAATATCAATATATTAATATCGATTACCTCAAGAGGGTGAGGATGAAGGAGGTTGTTAATCAAGTGCAATGTGTCTTTGTGAGTGCGTGTGTGTGCATGCAAATTAATAACAAAAATTAAAACTTGTTGACAAAAATACCATTGATTTTGGCTCAGGTATGTCTGAAGAACCTTAGAGAAACAGCAAATACATTATGTCTTCAGTACTACTGTTACAAAGAAAACGATTTCACTGAGGTTTTTCCAGATGAATGTATTCAGTCGTGGTGTTCATACACAAGGGATGTTTATAGAGACAGAATTTAATGTAAATTTTTTATAAAGTGAATAATCATCAGCAATTTGTTATATATATGTACTTTTATGGGTATATATTCAGGAACTCGGATATTAATGCCCTTTAATACAAAGAGTGCATGTAAAACTATAACATCCTTGCGGCCAACTTCTGGTATAGGCTGTGCGGGTGAGGGACTACTCAGGAGTGAAAAATAGAATTCGTATGCCTGGCAGCGATGAACCTTCCATCATCCCGTTCTTTGTTCATTGACAGTTGGTATGGAATCAATCGTAGCAAGAAATACATATGGTTACGGAAAACACGTTTATGGTTGAAAATGCTTGTTATTCTCCATTTCTGTCTCTGACTCAGCCTTCTTTCCCCAGGCAGTATATGGTGCTGGTCCCCTCCCTGCTCCACACCGAGACTCCTGAGAAGGGTTGCGTCCTTCTGAGCTACCTGAATGAGACAGTGACTGTAAGTGCTTCCTTGGAGTCCCTCAGGGGAAACCAGAGCCTCTTCACTGACCTGGTGGTGCAGAAGGATTTATTCCACTGTGTCTCCTTCACTGTGAGTACTATTTGCCTGTCCTTGTTTGATACGTTATATCGAATCATGGTGACGGGAGCTGGTGTTGAATCTGCAAAGAACAACTTTAAGAATGTTAGTGAGCTGGGGCACCTCGCTGGCTCAGTTGGTAGATCATGTGACTCTTCATCTTGGGGTCATGAGTTTGAGCCCACGTTTGGATGTGGAGCCTTTAAAAAAAAATACAATATTTTTTTTAAATGTTGGTGGGGACTTCATAACGTACGAAAGAGAGTGAGTTTTTAGCTACTAAGAAACAAAGCATGGGGGCGCCTGGGTGGCTCAGTCGGTTAAGCGGCCGACTTCGGCTCAGGTCATGATCTCGTGGTCCGTGGGTTCGAGCCCCGCGTCGGGCTCTGTGCTGACTGCTCAGAGCCTGGAGCCTGTTTCAGATTCTGTGTCTCCCTCTCTCTCTGACCCTCCCATGTTCATACTCTGTCTCTCTCTGTCTCAAAAGTAAATAAACGTTAAAAAAAAAATTAAAAAAAAAAAGAAACAAAGCATGGAATTTCCATCCACAGAGGAGAGAAATATTTTTCTGCATGCCAAAGTTCAATTTAAATTAAAAAAGAATTCTATTGGCCATAGAAAGCATGACTTAGTCAAAGAGATTTTCTTTTCTTTTCTTTTTTAAATAAAGGTTGTTTATTTATTTTGAGAGAGAGAGAGAGAGAGAGAGAGAGAGAACCCCAATCCCAAGCAGGCTTCATGCTGTCAGCGCGGAGCCCGACACAGGGCTCGATCTCATGAACCATGGGATCGTGACATGAGCCGAAATCACGAGTCGGATGCCTGAACCACCCATGCGCCCTGACTTAGTCAAAGAGGGTTTCTAATTTTGATATGTAACCATCTCTTTAAGGTCAGAGCAAGCAATTAACTAGAGTTCCAGGTTAGCTCTCTGGATATTTGGGTTCCACTGACGGCTGTTCTCACTGACATATCTCCCCTATATCTTATATTATTATCTTCGTTCATGTCTGGCAAAATATTCATACTTACCTAGCCCTTGGTGAAGCTGAGAGAGAGGTAGAAAATAGTCATGGATGAAGGATTCAGAGAAAGAAGACTGTGCAACTCCTCGGTGGTATTTTTTGTTGTTCAGCTCCCAAGGAGCTCATCCTTGTCAGAGATGGCATTTCTCAGTGTCCAGATAAAGGGACCAACACAAGACTTCAGGAAGAGGAACACAGTGCTGGTAAAGAATGCTCAAAGTCTGGTCTTTGTCCAGACAGACAAACCCATCTATAAACCAGGACAGACAGGTATGTAGGGAAATTCTACTACTGGGGCACTACTGAGAAGGAGAGGCCACCCCAAAGCTGGTTTTCCAGCCAAGCACCATTAATTATCCCCATCTCTTAGCCTCCTGCCCTATCACTCACATGACCTGCCTTATCATATCATGTCTGAGTCTTATCAGAGTATTTCTTTTTTAGTAAAATTCCGTATTGTCTCTGTGGATGAAAACTTTCACCCCTTAAATGAACTGGTAAGGATCTCAGTAGTTACGGTTTGGGTTGGTGGTGGGGATGGGGGGAGGGGATGGGAGTACTCACCCAAGCAGGGGCAGGAAGGTCCAGGAAAAGCAAGAAGATGAAACTCATTCCTTTTGGAAACTGGGATCCTAACTCCCTACAGCTCTAGAGTCTTATGGAAGGCATTACTGAGGAGTAAACAATGGAGGAAGCTGTCTCTCTTATAACAGTAATTAATCAGCTCAACAATAGTCAGCTACATTTATTGCTGTGACCATAATACATTAAACATAATGAAGAGTAAAAAAGTGAGATGTTATCCATATCCATACTCTCAAGGAGTTTATGATTACTAAAAGCACAGAGTTTCACTGTTTCTGAATATATATAATAGACAAGATTGTAATATGGTAACAAATACGTATATATACTATATACACATGTATTAGTGATAGATATTAACACATAGTATAATATACAATATATATCGCATGTAAAGATTTCATTTTTGTTAATTGGGTGATCCTTGCTCCAACTAGCTTTCAACAAGGAAAGAAACAAAGCTGCTGTAAAAATGCAAGTTTTTAAATTAGGAAAAAATGTTCTTAGTTAACTGTTAACCAAAATTCTTACTTGGTCTAAATCAAAATGACATATCACGCTATTAATATATAATTTATATAAGTAAGCAATATAGTCATATTCTTTACTTACAGGTTGTAAGTACCTAGTATTACTGATTAAAAATATGAGTAAATTAATAAATATTAATAAAACTTATTCACCAAAAATATTTTTCCAGGAAATGATTGTTGTGGAAATACATTATTTATGCTTTTCACTTAGAACTATTTACTAGTTTCCCTGAACAGTTCTAGCTCTTTAATGTTTCAGGTTAAATTTTGTTATAACTTACTACAGAATCCATTTTCCCATTTCCCTATTTGATCACAAGTCTGAAATCATAGTCTTTGGTGAAATTCTAATCACATCTCTTCTTTCCTTTTTTCATATAGATTCCACTGGTATACCTTGAGGTAAGCATCAGAGTCTTGTATAAAGAAATCAGCGCGTTTAAGAATGGAAGTTCTGATACTCCTGAGAGATGAATTACTATTAAAAAAAACAACTGTCAGATCTAAAATCCCCTGCTCCCAGATGTCAGGTTTACCCTGTTTTATCTTTCTTCTGTGTTTATCTCTTCTGAAGGCAATGCCAGTTACCAACCCCAAAGTCTTTTGTTCAAGGGCTATCATAGCTACATGATTATTCTCCATGCTCCCTGTTTCTGTCTAGGACCCAAAAGGAAACCGTGTTGGACAATGGCAAGGTGTCAAGTTGGAGAGTGGCCTCCAACAGCTGGCCTTTCCCCTCTCGTCCGAGCCCATTCAGGGCTCTTACAAGGTGGTGGCACAGAAGGAATCAGGCAAAAGGATAGAGCACTCCTTCACTGTAGAGGAATTTGGTATGGATTATGAACGATGAAAAGGACATAACATTTTGTTTCTTACCAAGCATTCATTTAGATTTTCTGAATTCCGCGTAGGTATGTTGAACTCGGATTGGAATCAGCTTTAGCTGCTTGTAAAGTCATCGTAATTCTGTGCACCAGAAATTCACGAGAGTCTGATTTCCAGTAGCAAGTTGCACTTTGCCAAGTATCAAAATTCTTATTTCAGTGGAACCATCATCATTTGTTTAGTGTCATTGAGATCTGCTGTCACCACGAAGTCAGTTAAATTTTGCATGAGTTGTTAAACCTTATTATCTTAAAATTGGCACATTGAAAAATGCATCTATAAGAGACTCTTAAAAACTGAGAACAAACTGAGGGTTGATGGGGGGTGGGAGGGAGGGGAGGGTGGGTGATGGGTATTGAGGAGGGCACCTTTTGGGATAAGCACTGGGTGTTGTATGGAAACCAATTTGACAATAAACTTCATATATTGAAAAAAGAAAAATGCATCTAGGCCTTCAGGATATTATTTTGGGGAAAATTATAGACATGAAAATATTTGTATTTCCATTAAATATTTACCAATCTCCCTATTTCCATTATCTCTACCAACAGTGCTTCCCAAGTTTGAGGTCAAAGTTCAGGTGCCAAAGATAATCAGTATCCTGGATGAAAAAGTGAACATAACAGTATGTGGGATGTGAGTTAAATTTCTTTTGCCTGAAATTTCAGATTTTGCCTCCATTTGAGTCATTATTTAGCTAGGTACCTCAGTACAAATTAATTTTTAACTGAATTAAAAAACATTTCAATGACTTATTTCAGCTGCTTATTATTAAAATTTTCAAATATGCAGAGGAATAGAGGACACCCATAATTATGATTTAACAACTAACACCTTTCTATATTTGCTACATCATTTTTTTTTCCTTTAACATTTCAGGATAAATTACAAAGATCATTACATTGTCCCCTTGATGCAGCACTATGTACCTTTAAAAATTATAGACATTTTCTGGGGTGCCTGAGTGGCTCAGTTGGTTGAGCATCTGACTTCAGCTCAGGTCATGATCTCACGGTTTGTGGGTTCGAGCCCCACATCAGGCTCTGTGCTGACAGCTCAGAGCCTGGAGTCTGCTTTGGATTCTGTGTCTCCCTCTCTCTATGCCCCTTCCCACTTGCGCTCTGTCTGTGTCTCTCTCTCTCTCTCTCAAAAATAAATAAACATTAAAAAAAATTTTTTCAATAATAAAAATAAAAAATAAAAATTACTGACATTTTCCTACATAGTCATGATGTCATTATCATACTTAACAAAATTAAAAGTAATTTTCTACTACTAATTCTTATTTTATACTCAAGTTCCCTCAATCTTTCTAAAACTGATTTACTCATTACTCTTGATTACTGTGACTCATATGTACCCCTTTTTTCCAACTCTCCACAATGGAAATTTTTTTGAATGCAAAAGTTAACAGAATAGTAAAATGAAAAACATGTACTCATCATGATTACCCACGGACCATTACAAAATAATGAACTTTTGCTTAATTTGTCCCATTTGTTCTTCCCCCCCACCTTCCAGTTTTTTTCCCTAATATTTTTTAGCAAGCCATGGGAATCTATAAATATCTTAGTTTTAAAAGTCTGGAACCTCCTTTTCTCTCCAGGATGTTAACTTATTGGAGAGAGCGGCCAGTTGGCCTGTAAATGTCCGTTTTGCTGGATTTGCCTGAAATGTCCCTTTTGCTGGATTTGTCTCAATGTCCTAATGAGACATTGAATTGATTAATTTTAATTTCTCCTCTGACCAATTTTAAGAGGATCCTTGGAGTATTTTCTTTTCTTTTAATTCATTTATTATTTAATTTACATCCAAGTTAGTTAGCATATGGTGCAACAATGATTTCAGGAGTAGATTCTTTAATGCCCCTTACCCATTTAATCCCTCCTCCCACAACCCCTTTTTGTTCTCTATATTTAAGAGTCTCTTATGTTTTGTCCCCCCCCCC